TGCACTTCTGATGCTGTCAGGGACACTTTCTATCACGAACTGAACACACTGCTTCGCGGTGCTTGTTCTTGGAGGGGTGGAATTTCAGAAGTACAGCTAGGTGGTAATCATGGACTTAAATCCGACCGGACGCATAACGGTGGGCGTCTGTTGCGACTGTGAACGGAACACTAGCTGTTTTGTAGCAGCACCACTTTTAGACCCGGTGGACGTCGAAGTGCCACTTGACGTCCCCCGATAGCTGACCAGTGATGGAGTTAAGTAGATCACATTTCCATTAGTTTCAAGTGACTTGGTCCCATCCTGGATTGTCACTAGTTCTACAATGCCTGTGTTGACCTTGAACACATTTTGGTAGGTAGTCATTTTTGCATGAAATCTAGCGACAGGCGTACAAAGCGCCTGCATCACTTGGCCAATGTGAAGTTATCTAAGCTCCCGATCAAGCTATCTCATTCTAATGATACTGAGATTCAGTGGAATAGGATCTCGGCCGCCATGGAACATGCAGAAGCCTCTGCTTGCGGTACTGATTACTGGTTAGAAGCAGCGATTAGAGCTTGCTCTGTGTAGCTGCATCAATCTTCACCCATGGACAAATACCCGTTATGTTGCGTTCCGCTCAATATATTTTGCTTCGGCAAAGTTTTTGTCAAGGATCTTCTTAAATTCCGACACTGACTTTGTCTCAACTATTTGCTGCTGCAGGTCGTTCCATACATTCACCACTCTGCGTTCGAAACGTAGTTGGTGAGCGACCTGCTTCAAATCCGGTACGATAAGCTTATACAGGTGTCCTCGTGTGCAGCTTAGTGTGCGCAGATGAAGCAGTGGTCTCAACATAGGGATGAGGTAAAACCTCAGTCGACGATAAGCTAGGGTGTACAGCCCTAGTTTCTTAAACCGGTTTTCGTACGGCACACCTCGTAAGTTGGGAATCAGCCTGGTGGCTACATACCGCACTCTCTCAAGCTTTTCTACCTCACCCCGGGTGGTAGGACAATACGCGGGAGAGCCATACTCTAGCATTGGTCGTATTACTGAGACGAAGAGGCGAGTGGCAATGTCTTCGGACCAAGTGTTGAAGCTGCGTCTGAGCGCCCAAAGCATACGAAGGCTGTTTTGGTAAATCCTATTCGTGTTGTCCATGGACTTTAGGTCGTATCGTGAGAGTACACCGAGGTCGTGCCTGAAAGGCACGGGATGCAACGGTTGACCAGCCACCGTGTAGATTCGACAGTGCTCACAAATACCCAGCCTCATGAATTGCGACTTGACCGGGTTGATCGGAAGGTTGACCTTTGCAGACCACATGGAGAGGCGGTCGAGATCCTGCTGAAGCAAACCACAATCATTGGGTGTGCGGATTACTCTCCACACCTTCAAGTCATCTGCGAACAATGCACAAGGTGATTGGAGTAGCTGAGACATATCGTTTACACAGATCAGAAACAAAATCGGCTCTGGTATAGTGCCTTGGGGCACGCCGCTGCTCGATGGATACCATTCGGTTAAATGGTTCTCCACCTGGACCCCCCACTTTCGATCAACAAGGAAATTCCTGAACCATTGGTGCAGCGAACCACCAACACCGCACATCCTCAGCCTGTCGAGGAGCACTGCATGACTTATCTTGTCAAAAGCCTTACTGAAGTCAATGTAAATGACATCGACTGATTTGCCTTGGTTCAGCGCTTGTAACCATTCGTGCCTCGTCAACAGTAGGTTGGTGATGCATCAGCGACCTTTCAGGAAACCATGCTGTGCGGGCGTCAAGAGGATTTTCGACTCGAGAAGCTTCAGAAGGCTCTTCTTCACGATCTTCTCGAGCGTCTTTTCCAAAACATCGGTCAAGCAGATCGGCCGGTAGTTATCCACTTTGCTTAGGTTACCACCTTACGGTATGGGCTTTCAGACTGAGCATTTCCAGTCGCCCGATAATAGTTCAGTGGATAGTGACCTGTTGAACAGCTCAGTTACAGTAGGCGTGATGATGGCCGATAGGGACTTGAGAATCACCACACTAGTCACTTGATATCCGAGAGGTCGGTGAACCTGTTGGAATCCAGAAAACTCCCAGCTGGCTCTGAGCACCATGTAACTAGGCGGACCAACAGACCGGAGCTAAAGCAGAGCTCGCGCGCTGTCAAAGGGGCCTGGTGCACCAGTAGAGCTCAAGAGATGGAAAAAGCGGGGACGGTTTTCGAATGCTACAAACTCCTCCAACTAATCCGCACCACTGGTCAAAGGAAACCAGGCGTCAATGAGGTTTTCAGAGACAGCAGCGGCGCCATAATTCACAATAAGGAGCGCTACCTAGCTTGTTCGGTGGAGCACTTTGGAGATCAGTTTAGTTGGCCACCTGTTCCCGGACTCCTTTATAGCCATATAGTACAGGCTAAGTCATGATTGATTAGATTAGAGACACGATCAGGGGTTACGGTTCTGTCCACAATACTTTTCGTGATGATGGTGCGGATCCTCTTAAGCCCGTGCCATTTAAATATGCGGATGAGGTGATCCCAGATGTATTAGAATATAAACTGGTTTTCGGGTTTTTTTGGAGCACCCGCCGTGTGTCTTTGATTGTGAAGCGCAATCTCACTAGTGACGGCGGTTGACTTTGAAGTCAGCCTCTGCCAATACGGTCACTGGGGCCGTCACCGTCACTGGTTTTGTAAAGCCTTGTATTGTGGTTAGGTTTCGCTCGATACAAGAGTTTTTACGGGGCAAATCTTGTGTCAAGAGAGAAACACAGTTGCAAACACAAGCATTTAAAACCGAGTGGTATTCTTAGACGTGTAAGTACGTATTCCAAGTCGGTACAAAGTTTATCTCAAAATACGAAATGCTGGTGAGGTCCTTCGCAAAACACTCACCGCCCCGTTCAAACAGTTATGAAAGGAAGAGATCATACCAGCTGACCAGATTAAAATCGATAACAGTAGTGATACACAAGTAGGGTAATCCCGCCGACTGTACTAAGCAAAAGGGTATTAGCCTAGCGCCAGTTATGACAAGAGTACTGACCTCGATTCTCATTAGTAGGCTCACTGCGGAACAGGAAGCGCGGATTAGGGAAGAGGAGGAAGATTTCCTCCCAGGACGTGGCTGTATAGACCAAATATTCGCTCTGCGACAGGTGCTGGAGCAGCGCCAAGCATACCGCAGACCGACAATAGCTGTGTCCCCGGACTTCAAAAGTGCGTTCGATTCCGTTGGTCGATGCATTCTGTTCGAAATACTTGCGCAGAAAGGTTTTCCCCTGAAATACGGGAACATTTTGTGTGCTCTGTACTCGAACACTAGAAGCCGCGTAAGGGTATATGGTTGCCTCTCGGATTTCTTTCCGACAACAAGTGGCGTTCGTCAGGGTTGCCCCATTTAGTTTGTTCAATTTCGTCGTGGACTGCATCGTGCAGTGTTCCCTTGCGGAATCTCACGACGCAGGTGTTGAGGCGCTGCCTAGAGGTACGAACGATATGGTCCTGCTGTTCAAAGATGCTGAGGCGGCGAAATAAAATTTCAACAACCTCTCTAGAGTGGTCCCATCATTTGGCATGCGTTTCACATCTTCAAAGTGCAGTGTTGTTGTAGGATCACCGGCCGTTGATGACCCCCTGACCCTTGATAGCCAAGTCCTCGATGTGTTTGATCAATTCACGTACCTTGGTAGCTGCATCAGCAATGGCGGGCGCATAAGCACTGAAGTCAGTTCACGTGTTGCAAAAACTAGAACTGCTTCTTGAATCTGCATCATTGGAATCAGAAGGGGCTTTCCCTAAGTCTGAAAGACTGCGTTTACAAAACCACAGTGAGAGGCATCCTATTCTATTGGAGTGAGACTGGGCCCCTTCGGTCTGAGGATTTGAGGCACCTTTAAATGTGATCAAGCCTGTCTGCGGAGCAGCGTTGGTGTCGGATGGCAACATTATGTCCGCAACGATGATGTGTGTAGGCGTGCTAGGCAGTGATAACCAGGCAGTACTGAATAAGTTGCATTGGCTTGGGAACGCACTGCGTATGCCTGATCAGCGCTTACCGGGGACGGACTTGTTTTTGTGAAGAGTTGTTGCAGCAACCAGACATCCAGCACACATCTAGGAAAACACTAGATGACCGTTTCGTGCCACTGGGTCTCATCGATAGCGCGCATCATTCGGATCCCGCCGGATGCGAACGTATGATCTTACTTTTACGAGTCAGTGACTAATGCCATGGGGAACACCCATGGCTCAGCAGGCTCAAAGTGGGGGTGGAGTTAACTTGGCAGTCGGCAATGAAGTCAATGACGACCCAACCGGGTACATTTGGTCCGTTAGGTCTTCAAAACCGGAATCCACGTGAAAAGATAGCAACAGATTTAGAAAATAAATTTTGTACGTCGTTTGATGCGCAAAAGCCAACACAGATGTATGATGCGGTTCGTCAAGTCGAGCTGAGTCCTCAGCAATAGTACGGCTGATGCGAAATGTTAAACCTTTCCATTTTATGGCACCAGATTTATTTAGATGTGTTAGCATTTAGTTACATTCCATAGTCCTTTTAGACACCAAATAGTTTAAAAGTACTCCCAGAGTGCCATGTTTAATTTAAACGCATTACTTTCACTTTGAAGAGTAAACAATGCAGCCCAAAAATTGAAGAGAACATTTATTGACTGGCAAGCAGATGCGGACTGATTAATAAATGTAGCCTGGATGGATCGTACCGAAAAGTCCAAGGGATAGGACACAGGGTGTAACTACAACACGGGGATGTCGCACTGGTGATTCACCACCAAGCAAGCAAGCTTTGAAACCACCAAGAGCGCTGAAATCCGGGCTGCAGCTGCAACGAGACGTTGGGGCCTAGTGTTTGCAAACCAGACGCCTGAACCACTCTAAAGTACGGATCCCAAAATAAGTACAAACAAATCTGTGTAGAAGACATGAATAACTCACCTTTAGCAACGCTAAAACCATTAGGCGGAGGTGAATAGCGTATTGAATAAGGTACCCTCATTCATCTTCTTTCGTGTCAACAGAATCCGTACGCGCCCTTTGCTTAGGCTGTCTTGTATCAGCATTTTCCCCTGCAACATTGGCCCCGGGGTCTACAGAACGTGAGCCGACTGTCGATTGCGATTCGGATTCCAACTCATCTTCCCGCTCCTCCTCAATTGGCTCCGTAAACCCGTGGAACTGGAACGCCGACGATGGTTGATCCGTCTCCTGCTCTCCGGATGGTGAAAATTTCGGGGCGGAAGAAGTGGACGACCGATGATCCCCACCATCTGTATGCAAGGCGTCTACAACAGGCTGCTCGTGCGTAGATGACCGACTCGGTCGGCCCGAAGTGCCCGCAGTGCTACTCCTATCGCTGATAGTCTTGCGGTGACCCGGCAAATCCTAGTGAGAAGGAGTAGAGTAAGCAAAGAGACAACTGTGAACCACGGTGGGAATATTTACTAGTAGCTGTGAGGCTAACACACGCAATCGGGTAGTGTGAGAGTGCAATAGCGTTTCGTAGGCCATGAAGCTACCTTGACCCAGACGTAAGTATGATTTTGTTCTCGTGGGATGAAGTCGCTTACTGAACTGCATCACAGACGCCGAGGTAACACATAAAGGTTGGAACAGAAAGATATTCACACTGTGAAAGCGATGCCTACTGGTTGCAGTATACTAGAAACCCACCGGTACGATACAATTCACTGTTTGTAAATAGCAGGGAGATTTAGCGAGTTTTTGTGTAGGTTCGTCGCAGTTAGGCACAGGCAGACAGCCACCACACATTCAGGAAAGCGCTAGACGGCTGTTTCGTCCTATTGGGACTCTTCAGTAGTGCGGACCCGCCGAATCCTGCCGGATTCGAACCCACGGCCTTACTCTTGCGAGTCAGCGACTTATATCACTGAGCCATGGGCGACGGCAGCGGACCACCATGCTTGGAGGAAGTCCTTGCTCTGGGAGCCAGCCCTGTCCTCTGCACATTCATAACATGCAAGACAGTGGAGGACGAGCCGCCCTATATCATAGTTAGATATCAGGCATGGCGGTCCGCTGCCGTCGTCCATGGCTCAGTGATATAAGTCGCTGACTCGCAAGAGTAAGTTTGTGGGTTCGAATCCGGCAGGGTTGGACGGGTGCGCGTTAGTGACGAGGCTTAATAGGACGAAACGGCCGTCGAGCGCCTTCCTGGATGTATGGTGGCTGTCTGCCTGTGTCTAACGGCGGCGAACCTACACAAAAACCTAATAAATCCCCCTACTACGTACAAATAATCAGTAGTCGCCTTAGCAGCATACATGCCATCTCGATTGGTGGCGACTTGCAA